AAATAGATTGTTTCGTTATTAAACCTAAATAATAAGAACTTTTAAATAGTTAATTTAATACTAATATCAATATAAATTTTTATGGGGTCTTTAAATTTATATTTTATTCAAATATAAAAACAATATTTTTTTCTTAAAACCATACAAAATCGCATTATAAAATCGACAAAGATAAATAATAAAATGAAATATTAAGTCGAGATGTATCTCATTACATTACACAAGTACACTTCTAGCTTATTTAAATACTTATCTTTTTTTTATTAGTTGTCATGCTTTAATTAAAGTCTTAACCAATTTTATATATAAACACAAGTTTGACAAAAAAAAAATTGAATAAACACAAGTTTAACATTAAGAGGGTGTTTGGGATTGCTTATTTGAAACAACTTATGCTTTTTTATAAAAGTTTTTATCAACTTATTATAAGTCAGAAGGATTTAACTTTTTCAAAAACTTCTTATTACCGGTTTGGCACCGATATAAGTTGTTTATCCAAACACTCAAAAGTGCTTATTACCGGTATCACACCGGAATAAGTCAATAAGTTGTTTTTATAAGCAATCCCAAACACCCCCTAAAATCAAAAGGCCGACGAAGAAAATAATATCAGGTAGACGTTAGCAAGTGAGTCTGAGTGGTTGTTTACTAAATGTTTACAGGGTCATTTTACCTGATGGAAATAACAAAGATCGAGAATTTCACCTGGTAAAAGCGATGACAAGACCGGATGTCTTACCCGGTAAGTGAGAGTGACGACTCTTATCCAATAAATGTTTGCCGAATAAAAATGTCGCATACGATGTCATTTTAATTGATTAAAATCTTACTCGGTAAACTAAGTGGAAGTGTTGAACTTTACAGATAATTTCTTATCAGTAAGAGTTGGATAAACGGCTCCTAAGTATCAAGATATTCAACCCTGGCTCAAGAAAATAATATTAAATTTAAACTTAAATATTTTTTAATATATTTTTAACTGTAACACCTTAATTCCCCATTTGGATAAAACACATATGTTCCATATAACATGAAGTACAAATATACATAAAAGCTTGTCTTATAAAGGATTTGATACCTTCTTTATTATACGTGTTTTAAAACCATGAATCCATATAAATGAACAAATCGAACAATATTTAGTACGCTTAACTTTGGATGTTACATTAATTTTTATAATTAATCGAATGTTGATAAGATTAGATGTTATCGTCAGAACAAATAACGTCTTGGATAAACTTTGTTTAATAATTTCTATTTGATTTTTTTTATTAACCTGGATATCCAACCCACTATGCGAGCCGACTAATCTCACGACGACCACCTGCTTTGCAGATAGCCCGAAGTCACCGCATTTAAACCTCTGTGGCCACAAGGGGATTTTTATTCTTCCTTGGATTTGAACCTGAGACCTCCTGGTACTTTTGATCGTTAGAGTCAAGTTCAAACCAATCAGGCACCACCCTTATGGTTTAAATTTGAATTTTTATAATGTCCGCGACTCAACAATCATATATTGATCTATCTGAATTTTTCTGATTTTTGTTTTTTTATTTTACAAATATTTCTCAACAACGTTAACTTGCAAAAGGGTATTGTTCGTATGGCTCGACTCAGTTCAAAAATTTAATCGAGCTCTCAAACAAACTGAATCAAATAAGATGATTTATATCATCACCCGATAATTTATGAACTAATTTTTTGAATTTCCATTTCAACAACTCTCGGATCCATACATAACAAAATGGATTTATTCATACAGTTGCAGAATTCCAGTTCGAATCAACATCTTTCCAACCCATCATCTTTGGCTCATACAAGTGCCGGAGTTAAACCCGACGACGATGGCTTGACGTTGGCGGCATAATCTCGAGCCCACGAGTCGTAATGTATGATTTCCTCAAGCGAAGGTGCCGTCACCAACTCTGATTGATGCTTCTCGCAAGTCAACTCCACCACCTTGAATATGTCCAAATAGCTAATCCTGAAAACACCACCAAATTAATAACCCGTCAGATTACCCGGATATTTCCATCAAGAAACGCAGTTTAGAATCCATACTTTTCATCAATGAACATTTCAACGGCTTTCTCGTTAGCGGCACTAAGAACTCCGGTCATCGTACCACCAGCTCGCCCAGCGGAATAAGCCAAATCCATTGATGGGTATTTCACGTTGTCTGGAGCCTTGAATGTCAGTGATCCCAACCTGTATCACAGAAACAACTAGATATCGAGTCTGATTCAAGCCGTAAATTACTCTACTATCCTCGCTTCATGAATCACGATCCAACTTTCTAAGGTTGTGTTTAGCAAACTAATTGATAAATTTGTTGTTGGCTGATAAACTAGTCATGTTTGGTAAAAATTAGCTGATATGCTAGATGACAAATTAAGTGACCCAAAAAGAACATTTTATAAAATTAATTGATAAAAATATAACGGGCATAATTGAGAAAGGAGCTTGTGGGGCCTACTGATATGCATTTTATAACGCTAGCTTATGGCTGACCAAATGACGTTTTTTCAAGAAGCTAGCTTATGGTTGTCAAACATGGCCTAAGTATACAATTATCATAGTTAAAGATGATAGTTTTAGAGTCTTCCTTCTAAGAGTATAAGAAAGAATGTTACATACTTGCAAAGATCAAGACGGGGCCATGTAATCTCGGAGCAGTGTACTCTATCGGGCCACGATAACGTATACAGAATTGGCAAACGCATGTCGGGCCATCCTAATTGTGCCAGGACAGACGAGTCCTGAAATAAACAAGCGAAGAAAATATGGTACAACCATTGATTCGGTATTTGAGTGCAGAAAACAGCATGTCGAAAAGCTTACCTGTGTCTCGACCATAGAATGTATGATAGATTGAGGATGGATAACGATATCAATGTTGTCATAATCAGATCCGTAAAGATAATGAGCTTCAATAACCTCTAGACCCTATCAACAAGAATTTGAAGGTGATTGATTCAGCTTATTGTCGGATAGCAAATTTAATCAATCTCTTAGATCCATCTGTATCGGGTAGAAAGCAAGATTACCTTATTGAAGAGTGTGGCCGAGTCCACGGTGATCTTCTTCCCCATGCTCCAGTTTGGATGTTTCAAGGCATCCGCTACTTTAACATCTTTCAGTTTTTCAACAGGCCAGTCCCTAAGACGAACAACGAACAAAAAACACAACCAATGTGAGAATAGGTGGAACCCCATCAGATTACTCTCCAAAATAGCCCTTTAAGAAAACCCTTCAACGGAGGCTAAACAGGCAAACATGTCCTAGAGTGTTGAGTCCGTGGCAAAAATGTCTCAAATGATAGACATTGGCTCTGATATGATGTAAAAATATGTGAAGCCCCCATCAGATTACTCTCCAAAAGAGCCTTTGTGGGGAGAAGAGCAGTTCCAACATATATCAAAGAGAAGGAATCCAGATCTAGCTGATGTGGGACTCTAACACGTCACAAGTCCCCTCCAACGGAGGTAGATGGGCAAAAGATGAAGGGGGTTCAAACGTATAATGAAGAGAAATTGTCTAAGCTTAGCTGATGTAGACGCAAGTTTACTGTACCTGAAAGCACCACCGGATGCAGTCAAGATTATACGCCTTAGAGCACCTTCAGGAAAGCCTTGTATACACTAAAACCCAACATTTATATCATTCACTGTTAACGGTTTTCTGGCATATAGCTTGTATACTAAATGTCTTAATGGTTTTTATAGAGTATTATACCTGAAATATAGCAGAATGTTCTGAATCAGCAGGAAGAATCTTTACATTGTGCTTGTGTGCAAGAGGAAGAACAAAAGGACCGCCGGCGATCAAGGTTTCTTTATTTGCCAACGCTATGTTTTTCCCTGCTTCAATAGCAGCAACTGTGGGCTAAGAAAGAAAAACAGGAAAAGAGTCTCAAACAAGCATGAATGTTTCCATCCCAACAGAAAACTACTCACTTTACATCTTATGTACCAATTAAAGATTCTTGCTTTAACATTAAAATATGAACATAAAACCGATGAATGTAAACAGATTGGATCAAGTGTCGTTATGCTAATTTGTGTCTAAAACACAAAATGATACTGTGGAACCCTGTCAAATTACAAAAGAACCAAAAGGGTATAAAGATATACCTTCAAACCAGCACAACCAACAATTCCTGTGACCACAGTAACACAATCTGGGTGGCGGGCAACCTGAAGCCGATTAGAAGTTTCCGTTATGGATTTGTAATTAGCAGAAGCTTAGAATGATAATCAAGGAACTGGTGAAACTGACCTCAATGACACCTTCATTACCAGGAATGATTTCAGGCATGTAATCAGAACCAGCCAAAGCTTCTTTGAGTTCACCAACCAACGATTCGTTCTTGATAGAAACTAACTGTGGTTTAAATGCCTTAATCTGCCAAAAGGAAATACACTTGCTGGTAATTTGATTTCTAGATAAGCACTTCTTGATCTCAATTTGGTCATCATCTTATGAATCCAACATAAACCTCAAACTTTAAAGGCAAATAACAGATTTGAAGTTTGGTTTTTGATGATCTTGATTGCAATTCGAAATGGACGGTAAGGTTACCTGATCGGCAAGAAGTGTGACGTTTGAGCCAGCAGCAAGTGCTACAACTCTGAATTTATCTGGGTGTTCGGCAACAATGTCGAGTGTCTGCAAATCAAGAACTTGAAATGAAACACATCTAATAAAAAACCACGAGTAAATCATGAAGAATTAAGTGAAATTTACCTGAGTCCCAATGGAACCAGTGGATCCAATGATTGAGATGGGTTTAGGACCGTTCCAATTCTTGGTCTCCGGCTGAACAAGGGCCGTTCCCGGCCAAGCCGAAGGTGGTGGCGCCGCCGCCGAACAATGGATCCCTTTTCCGAATGGTGCCTTACTATCCTTTCTCTTAAAAGAAAACCCACCTACCAAAACAAATTAATCATCCCCAACAACCAGTAACTGTCAAACGTCAAAATCAAGGTTACAGAATCAAAGATTAACAAATGTATGTCATCCTGGTGAAACATAAACCTAGAAAGAGATGCAAATGAGTTGAACCATGAAACTAATATTAGCTAAAAATGGATTCATTAAAATGTCTGATAATCAAACAGCACCTTGAAGCTTGAGAAGGTGGGTGTTGGATTTGGAGGTGTCCAAGAAAGAGATCACCCTGACTTCTGCTGGAGACAGAATGTTCAAAGACATGATTTTTCTTTCGAAGTTTTCACAAGTTTCAGTAGATTACGAATTTCAAGAAAATCTTGATTCCAAGGAAGTGGTGAAAACGAAAAACCCGAATGGGATTCTTGATTTTGGCTAAAAGCAAAACTATGTGAGATTTAGTTATAGAAGGGGTGTAAAAGAAAGAACGAAAACAGTGTCAGTGCTGTTGGTGCTACCAGAGGAATAGGCCAATGTGGTGGTGAACATACTATAAATGGATATAAATTACAATTATTACCCCTTGAGGTTGGCTTGTAGTTGCAACAACCCCCCTCCCAAAAAAGTCTTTTTTCCAAAAATCTAAACCCTATCCTTTCAACCGTGAATCCAGGTTCAACTTGTTAAAGGGGAAATTGGTTCAAATGACCATATTTCACGACCAAATTAATTTTCCAATCATATATCTTTGTATTTTACTCAAAAGTCACTAAATCCGCAATTATTGTTGGTCCACCAAACGACAAAGTTTTAGACTGTTTTTGCTCAGGTCCTTAACCACATGTCCGTAATTATTATGGATCCGGTCCAAAACCCTAAATTCCTTGAATTTGTAATGCCACCTCACACTGCCAAGTCCGCAGTTATTGCAAACTTGCCATGTGGTAACGTCTGAAGAAACCCTAACCAACCAAGTGGCAGGTCCGTAAGCCAAGTCTGTAATCGTAATAAGCCAAACTCCGCAATTTTACCAAGAATCTCATTTATCATGTTTTCATGTATGTTTGGTTGCGGTTGTGCACTATATTTTTCTACCCTCATTATGAATTGTACAAACTTCAGTAGATCATTAAGAAGACCACTATATTGGTACAATTTGATTCCGTCAAATTTTTGAATAAGAAGATCAATGATGAAAGTTAAAAACCATCAAGTCTTTTCAATCAAATATTTCTCTCTTGTATCTTCCTTTTTCCTTGTTATGTGTTTTTTTTTTCAAAATAAGTTCTGGATCTAATAAAATTAGGTTATGTATTAGAGGTGTGGGATTGTGGCAGCAAACTAATCAAGAGTGGGGGTATGTTTCTGATCAACCGGTGATCCGCATCATGGTACCATCAAACATTACACATTCGAGATTGGTTAGTTATGTTCAAACAAAATGTGGTATCAACTCTTCTGTTGGTACCACTAGAATGACATACAAGTATTTTGGCCAAATTTTTGAGTTATGTGACAGTGGCGATATTTTTTATTTAATGGAATTTGTTGTTGGTTCAAATAACCCACCAACACTTTCTGTCTATGTCGATTTGTTGATGTGCGGTGGAAGCAATGTTGGTGGTAGTTCGAACACCGGAGGTGATGTGTATGCTCCTGAGCAGAGTCAAACTTCTTACGTGGCTTAGTTTGATTTGGAAAACGAGCATGCATATGGGGTTACCTTTGGTTTTATTTCGGAACAAACATTATGATCATGGTGAATATCCCCGATTTTGTTCCGAAAACAGAAGAAGTTCATAAAGACGATGAAGAGTCAGATGTTTACAACTTAGGTTTTTCTTATATTGATACTGATGAAGAAGCAACAACAAAAAGTTATTCTGTTAAATCATTTGTAGAGAAAAATGATTTTTTTGATATGCCTTCTCCCCTGCCAACATCAGAGTCCGTCATCACACCCAACCAACCTATACCTTATAATTGTAGCGCAATAGTAAGTTTGGCGCATTATTCAATACGAAAAAATGAAATGATGCTCGCCCTCGGGGTGAAGTTTATTGAAGAGGGTTTCCAGTTTAGAGGGCATAAATTTACAAAATCCATATATGAGGCGAAATGTTTCGAAGCAAACTGTGATTGACGTATGATGGCAACCTCTATCGGATCCACAAAGATGTTTCATGTACGAAAGTTGCATGATGTACACACATGCTCAAAGACCCAGATGCATCCCAACCACCGTAAGCAACCAGAAGGGTGTTGGGTCATTTAATTTATCCTAAATTGCAGGATACTTTGTGGATCCGACATCGTGAGCGATGTAAATGAACAGTTTAAAATAAATATTTTGTACTGGCAAGCTTGACGTGTGAAAGCTTATGCAAAAATGATGATGAAGGGTGACTCGGAGATTCGTTCACCCGACTCCCTGTGTATCTATATAATTTGGAGCTCCGTAATGTTGGTACGATGACACAAATTAGGACAGATAATAGAGGACAGTTTGAGATGTATTTCCTTGCTCTTGGTTGTGTGGTACGTATAATTTTGTCGTAACCCCTTTTCACTATTTTAAATTTTATTTTTATTTATTGCACAACTACATAGTATAATTTTCTAATATGTAAACCACCTAAATTTCCAGATTCATTTATTTGTATCTCATTTACATCGAGTGCTTATAATTGACAGTACTCATTTGATGGGGCCTTTCTTGGACACGATGTTCTTAGTTGTTGCTATGGACGCAAATAACCAATTTGTGTTCATCGCTTTTGGAGTAGGTAGGTCTGAGAGTGGAGAGGGTTGACTTGATTTTTGTCAATGTTGAAGCAATGTATCAGAGAAATGGAAGGGTTGATTTTCATATCAGACAAGGATGCTTCAATAAACTAAGCAATTACCACCATGTAACCAATGGCCCATCACGCGCTTCGTTATCGCGAGCTGGAGATGAATGTAAAATCCAGGAACAATAGAGTCAGATATAAGAAGAAATTATTTTGGAAGACTTATAAAGCGTACACTAACAATATTATAAACACTAAAATAAGGTGTTATAAAAATTTGACATTTATTTAACAAATATTATTGTAATATTAAAGTTTTATAACTATATATGTATATATATTGATTAATAGTTTAGTATATTAATTAATATGTTGTATTAAGTTATAATTTAGTTATTTTATAACTTCAAATTGTATATATATATGTATATATATATATATGTATATATATATATAATTTAATTATTTTATAAAAAATGAAATTTAATTAAAAAAGTATGAATTACTTTATCATAATTTTGTTCGACGAAACTTAATCATATTTAAAAAAATATTCGTAATCATAAAATATTTAACAAAATGAAATTTCATCAACAAAAATTTTAAAAAACATAATATTGACTATAGTTTTGTGTTAAAAAAAATAACAGAAAACATAATACAATAACGTAGATTCATAGAGTAAAGTATAAAGATGTACGCATTCAACTTCAAAATGCATTAATTGAACATTTGTAGGATGAGTATGTTAACTCGGAAAATCAGTGTAATTTAATTTGCTTTTGAATGGATGTTATCTTCTAGAATTGAATTACTGTAATTTAATTTACTTTGAAATGTAATTTTTATTAATTAAAAATTGTCATTTTAATAACGATGTTTTGTTAAATAAACAGTTTTAAAATCAAGTGATACTTGTTTATTGATTATAAAATTAATTATGTATTATAATTATTATGTTTTAATAAAATAGTAATAAATATATGAATACCATGGATTGAGGAATCTTTTCTAGGATCTTTGGAGGTAGATAATACCACGGGTCAAGTTTGGTTTGATTTTCTAGTAGCTGAATTGAAGTGTCTTTGGTTTGGATTTAGATGATGTGCGAGGATAATATTATGATAATGGTTCAAACATGAAGGGGAAACATCAAAGAATATAAATGAAACTACTAAATATAAATTCTAAGCATTTTATACTTCTTGTGCTTCTCATAGTCTTAATTTAACTTTGTGCATGATATAGCCAATACTTGTGGTAAAGCTAGAGATTTTTTTAGAATAATTTAACGTATTTATACAATATTTGCTAATTCTACTAAAAGATGACTAGTGTTTAAAGATGATGTAAAATGATGGACCGTCAAGTCATTGTCAATAACTCATTGGGAGATTCATATTGATAGTGTAAGAACTATAAGATTTCAAGTGTTAGAGATACGAGAAGCCTTACTTCAAGCGGCTGAAATAGATAATGGTTCAAAAATTAGAAATGAAGCAAAATTTGTAGCACACAGTGAGCTTGGTGATTGAGTTTCTAGTGTCAATGGTGGTTTGGTATGAAATATTATATGCTATAAATTTGGTCAGTAAACATTTACAGTTAGAAATATGTTAATTGATGTTGCTATTGATCAAGTTAAAGGACTGATTTTTGTAAGGGATATAAAGATACAAGATTTTTAGATGCTATAGAATCAGTAAAGAAGATTGCCACTGAATTAAATATTAATCCGTTGTTTCCTCAAAGACGTGAAATCCGAAGAAAAAGACATTTTGATGAAAATCCACGTGATGCATCTGAAATGAACTCACAATCAGCGAAGGAGTCATTTAGAGTTAATTATTTCTTATGTATCGTTGATCATGCAATTGCTTCACTAAGTAGGAGATTTGAACAATATGAAAGTGTATTTGGGTTTTTGTTACATATGATAAGTTGTGTTATTTGGATGATACATGTTTCAAGTCTTCTTGTACTAATTTTGAAAATGCACTTTAAACAAGACCAATCTGATATAGATGGGAATGACTTATAATATGTTGAACTGAAGATACTTCAAAAAAATTTACCCAAACAAAAGATGGGACCTCTTGATATTTTAAAGTATTTGAAACATGTTGAATGCTTCCCTAATCCAATTATTGCTTTTAGAGTTTGTTGACTATTCATGTAATTGTTGCATTTGTAGAAAAAAGTTTTTCAAAGTTGAAGTTGTTGAAGTCTTATATGTGCTCCATAATGACACAAGAAAAACTTAACGAACTTACAATGATAGCACTTGAAAATGACTTTTTAGAGAAAGTTGATTATGAAGATTTTGTTTCTAAAAATGTTAAAAGAATGATTCTATTCAAGTGAAAATTTACATGTTACTTTGTCTTTTGACTGTTCTTATTTGTAAGACTTTCAATATAATATAAACTTTTCTATTTAACTTTTATTTATTTTGTCAGCCAATCAACTTACATTTTTTATAATAGTGTAACAGGGTCTCCACAAAAATTAAGACGACCCTATATAATATCA